GTGGATTATTAAGGGTTGCGAGCTTAGTACTTGAAATTCACATGAATAAAATTCTATTTTCTGGATATTAAAAGAACTAAATGAATCATTGGAGCTCAAGTATGCAACTCAAAGGAGTAACTCATTGTTTCACTGTTATAAATAACGGTAAATAGCCCCGCAATAGCGACGCTAATAGCGTTAGCGGTCCTTTCCCGCGACGCTATCGCCCGCTACGCTATCGCGCAATAGCAGTGACATATTGCGGAATATGTATGTTCGCAAAAGCGGTCAATAGTGTGTCATAACGGTATGAGCGATTGCATACGAAATTTACTTTTTGACTGCTATTTAAAAGCGATTTGAGGCTTATTTTTTTAAAATTAAACTTAACCCTTGACCATTGTATTCTACCGTCTCCTGTGATTTTCAGCATACTCCCGTCACCTCTCATAATCTTTGGCACCTACCTTGATACTTCCTCTCACCTCCTTCACCGTGAGCTCCTCTTAGGGCAGTCCTGTCATCGCTAAGCTCTTCTTCTCGAAGATGATAACTTTTTGACTCCTTCAGTCATCTTCGGTATTACGTGATGGTTACATGTCTATTTCATGTTTAGGATCTCTTTAAATCATTCAATATGTACTTTTAGATTTTGGTTACATGTCTATTTCATGTTTAGGATCTCTTTAAATCATTCAATATGTACTTTTAGATTTCTTAGATATTTTTTTTAATTTTTTTAGTATTTATATATATCTAAATTAGACCGCTATTTGACTTTGCGTTTTTTACCTCTATTTTGCCGCAATAGCCCGAAATAGCCTTAGCGATACCTCACCGCTACGCGACGCTATCCGCTATCGATAACCTTGTTGTTTACCTCACTAAAACGATCACTTGAAGTTGCATATCTTTCAGTAAAAATTAGATCAACTCGATAACAATGTAGATTGATGGCTCGTGATGACCAGAGAATAGTGGAGGGCTGAGGATTGGAGGAGAGCCAGAGAATATACTTGACAACTTAGGCGATGAGGTCAAGATGAGAAACTGAAAGAGGATCGAAGAATAGTTAGCAAGGCGAAGGAGGAGGATCTAGGGGAGGACTCGAGGACATTTTTGGGCGAAGTGTGTGAAGAATGCAATTCATTTGATCAATCAACTGCTACAACCATAGTTGGAGACTTGGAGTTCATACCACCCTTTCAAAAACTATAGAATATCAAGCCAATGATTAGTCATTTCCAAGTTTCAATTGTGTCAGTTAGGTCTTCGTGCTATCACTTGTTGAACAAATTCGATACAAAAGCCATAAGGTTCATTTTTGTGGGTATCGAACGAAAATGTTTAAGATGTTTTGATCTCACAACTGGGCGGTGTTTACGCATCAAGAAATATCCTGTTCGATGAACCCTCATGTAGATAGGCTCCAAAAGAAGTTGTGCTACTAAGTTTCAAAGTTTTGGAGGATAAGTTACAAGTGAAGCTGGGGGAGCCAAGCCAAGAAGAAGAGTCACATTAGTCAAAAAAGATAGAATCAAATTCTCCCACCTCCCTGAAGTTG